CTTACCTGACTTAAAAAAAAAGTTTAAACCTTACCTTATCTAGGGAGAGGATATTAAGAAATGCTTCTAAATTTTTGTTTTGACGCTTCGCCGGTCGCTGGCGTCTGCCGCCGCATGTTCCATTGCTCGCTCGGCTCGCACGTTGTGTGGTTGTTTTGTGATTACGTTAGAACATGGTAAATCCAAAAGTCTAATACACATAAGAATATTTTTCGTTTGTACTTACTAAGCCGGAGCTTGACTGGTTATAAGTTGTGATGAAGCCCTAGAACCCTAGATAGTAAATCCTACAGTCTTGCCGTAACAAAAGCCTATTCATTCTTGCCTTGAAGACGGCCATATTGTAATCGGACGAAACGTAACAAAAGCCTATTCATTCTTGCCTTGAAAACGGCCATATTGTAATCGGACGAAACGTAACAAAAGCCTATTCATTCTTGCCTTGAAGACGGCCATATTGTAATCGAACGAAACGTAACAAAAGCCTATTCATTCTTGCCTTGAAGACGGCCATATTGTAATCGGACGAAACGTAACAAAAGCCTATTCATTCTTGCCTTGAAGACGGCCATATTGTAAACGGACGAAAAGATAGACGCCCGCAGATTATTCCACTCCATTGCTATACGTATTTGTAACGACTGGACTTGCGCTTTATATATGGTAAGAAGCTGATCCGGCGTGAAGTACCGCTACACTCTTGCTAGGACAGCTAGTTTTCTTACGGTTGATTAGGACCTGGATTCAATGAATCGCCCATAGTTGCGGTTCGGAGAAATCGCAACCCCTAACAACTGAGGACGGTCAATGTACTCCAAAGATACGTCCCTGAAAGTTGGAGCCACGGTGAGTGGGCTCTTTCTAGCGGTAAAGAGAAACGTTTGTGTTTTGGAGGCGTTGTATCTCAAAGATTCGCATTGTCCTATTTCGAGATTGCATGCAGTGAGCGATTTGCACGCTCAATCATAGCTTCTCTCTTGAACTGGATTTGATCTCGACTGGCCCGAACATTCGGCTGGTAGGTACCACTTCACAAGTGTACCGTCGTCTACATACCCATGGATACCGATCTAAAGCTCATCAATTTGTAGAAGGAAAAGATCATCAATATGTAACAAGCAGAGTTTGGAGCAGGGGAGAACGGAAACCTGAGGATATCGGCGTTGCCGTCATAGGATTGGACGAGCAGCCATCGACAACTCGGAGACCGTTTACTTAGAAAGTCCATCACCTAGGCAATTAGGCCAGGAGATAAGCCGTACGTTAGAAGTTTGCCCAAAAGGCTAGCCTACTAAAACCTGTCAATGGTGATAGAGACATCAAGTGTTTCCCCATTGTTATAGAGGGCCTCGCCCCACAAGTGCATGGCATACGTTGAAAAGTCTCCAGTTGACCGATTTCAGCTGAACCCGTACCAGTGGTCACTGAGGAGGTCCTTCTGTTCTGAATATGCCATGAGGTGGATGTTCAATAGAATTGTTGCGCGCCTAAGTTGACGTCAGGTACCTAGCACTAGCGCCATCTAGTGACGGGGACTAGAGCGAGGAGGGCTTCCTACAAAATGTCAATCTTGATCTTTCGACCAAAAGCGCCATCTAGTATCGAACAGAAGAATTAAGCCTTCTAGAAACCCCACACTCGAACTTTCTGCGTCTGGTCGTTCGGTGCCCGTATTTACTGGAATATTCTAGATGTTTCGGTGTAAAAGGTGTTTTTAAAGCCGCCGCAACCCGCTATCGGGGCAGTATTGAATTTGGCGAGACAAGCGAAGCTTCGGAGCGAAATAAAGTGAATCAGTGTGATTAATTATTAGTGTCTTCTAAGTTTTAATTGGTGATCGGTAATAAAAGTGTAAACTTTGGCAATCGGCAGTTTTTACTGTCACGAACTTCAAGCTCGTAACAGTATAATAAATACGGTTACCGTTACAGCCTATAAGTCCAATACTGAACATACGCCTCCTCCATAGACTGCCTCGTAGGGGGGATGTTTACCATAGTTGTCACGCTTGGCAAGCGGGTTGACAACTGCAGTTTTTTATTGTTAGTCGTTTTGAGAAGACTCTGCTGGCCATCTCCTGATTTGTTTATCTCTGTCGCCTCTTACGACTCTCATGGGACGATGTGGGGCAGTGAAAATTCTTACACCGACACTATACGGCAATTATGTTTCATTATATGTTCCGTACATATTATATTAATAGTTGGCAAACTCGGCACAACTACACGTTTTAGACATAAGCTACACATTGGCTAGCTTCCAAGATTTGGGCACTATTCCAGTCCTAAATGAGAGGCAAAAAACGCGTCAAAACAGAAGACAACTTAAACGCCTTTAGAACTATAGCTGGTATACCATCTGGTACACTTGCTTTATTCTTCTGGACTCTGTATGGTTCGCATTACAAACAAGGAGGTTCATTAAACCTCCTTGTTCGTGATGCTAACCTCTGACACGGAAGTATCGCAGAGGTAATTGAGTTACACTAGCTTTATTCTTCTGGACTCTGTATGTTTCGCATTACAAAAAAGGAGGTTCATTAAACCTCCTTGTTCGTGATGCTAACCTCTGACACAGAAGTATCGCAGAAGTAATTGAGTTACACTAGCTTTATTCTTCTGGACTATGGTTCGCATTACAAACAAGGAGGTTCACTAAACCTCCTTGTTCATGATGCTAACCTCTGACACAGAAGTATCGCAGAGGTAATTGAGTTGGTACGCTGTTGTTGCTGTCTAGAGAAGCAAATAAATCCGCTTTCTCCTGAGTCGCATGTATCAGTGAGCCATTTGGCTTTACTAGCGGATGCAGTGTAGCTCGGCAGAAGTTTGTCTCAACCGCTGTGGCGAGAGACCAAAAAGCTTGGCTGTATGCTCATTCACATCGTGTGCCGTAGTCGCTACTTTTACCAGCTAAGGGTTGCGACAACACAAATAATGATAGGCTACTCTATAAAAACCAGGGGTGCAATAGGGTACCGATTAGGGCCACATCCGAGGTCTCACTGAGGTGTTCAAGTGCGATGACTAAGAGATAACTAGGTTAGTTGTCTCCTAGTCAACAATCGGTAGATATAAAAGTTTAAAAAAAGTTACAGCCTATATACGTCCCACTGCTGGGCACAGGCCTTCTCCTATTTATGAGAGGGTTTTAAGGCGAGGAAGTGCCCGCCGCGCAGCCCCAATACGTGTTGGCGAACTTCACGTCTTCGAAATATTTTTTTTCTTATTCCTCAGACATGTAGGTTTCCTCACGATGTTTTCCTTCACCGCCGAGCACGTGGTAAATCAGTACTTAAAATTGCAATTAACAATTTCCTTGGTGTCGACGGGGATCGAACCCGGGTTACTCGCGTTGTGTTATATTTACATTGAGCGTTAACCATTTGAGCTGCCACGGCTCTTCGGTGGATATAGGAACAAATAATTTGACGGCTCCGTGGTGCAGTGGCTTAGCTATGAGTTACAGTGCTAAGGGCCGCGGGTTCGAATCCCGCACGTATTTGTATGGCCTCCAAATAATTGTTCCGGATCTGGATGTTTGTCCTTGTGAAATTTGTGTTTGTAAACTGCCCCCACGATACAGGAGAAAATCCTAATGTGGAGGTAAAGTTTAAAAAAAAAAGAAAGTCTATCCCTGTATCTATTAATACACAAATCGAGGAGAAAGTGGTATCTTCAAGGTGTCGGAGACAGACTCCGGTGCGCTGGTAGAAATAATGCATCAAAAGGACATCGGTGTCTAAGTCAAGAAGAGCAAGTCCTGTTTGTCAGTTCCAAGGTGGTAGTGCATTGCGTTGAGATTACAGTGCCGGTCTCCGATGTTTTTGAAGAGCTCTTTGATGGAGGAGTGCAACCGCTGAAAAACTTATCCTTATTTTGCCATTTTTTCTTTATGTGGTAGAATGAATAGCTTGAGTGAATGGCAGTTGGATGAGACGTCACGCACAAAGCCTAGGAACGCAAGCAGTCACAGTATCTATGGGACTTAGCATGGAGACCGCTGTGTGGCCCGAACCCCCTGGAAGTTACTACCAGGCCCTCTCCTCCGGTCGCGTCGGGCACGGTGGAGCCATCCCAGGATTTTTAGTTAGTGAGCGGCGCAGCCTTTCATGAGAGCAATTTTGTGCCAATAAAGAAAAAAATGTAATTGACCTGTAAAATTTACTGGGTTGCAGGATTCTTATTTTTCCTTGGAGACGGTCTGGGTTGGTAGTGTTCCCATATACTGAATAATTTTTTTATATAGATAATCAAAACAAATTATGTATAATTTTTTACCGTCTGGAAAAGAATAGGGTGTAAGTGTAACAGGTGAACAAAATAGAAGCCTCTAGCACCGATATTTGACAATTTTTTTGATCTACGAGTATCAATAAATACTACGAATTGGGTGCGTTTTATTTTAATTTCGATAATTTTTGATTGGTTTATTTTTTTAGTTCAAAATTTTTGCGTTTATTTTTTTAGTACCGAAAGTTTATTTCAAATTAGTAGTATTTATTGATAAATTAATTTCATAAACTATGAAATTTATTTATCAATAAACATAATGTTAATGTAAAATGAAATAAAATTGTAAAATATCAATGCCATAGGCTTCTATCCCGTTCACCTGTTACACCCTATCCTTTTCCAGACGGTAAAAAAAAATCACTCAGTATATTTCTGCCATCAAGCAGCAACGCGTATTCTGCTGTAGATAGTAGAAAGCTAGTATGATTACAGGCTGTGAAGCATATCATCTTAGTCCTCAGGAGCACAACGCAACCACATTGTTCATTGTATGTACTGGCTGCAGGTGCCCATGCACCGCATTGGCCAATATTACCATCTCGTCGTTTCTCTTCAATTTCATAAAGATAGTGGTGACAACGCATCTGCAGCCTTCTTTGTTTAAAGTTGGCTGCAGTCCATGAACTCCAGTAGCCACTTACCCTTAGATGGACTATTCATAAAGAGTGTTGTGTTAATACATTATTTATCATTAAATTGTTACAGGGGTCCAAGAAGTTGAAGAGAAAACGCGCGAAGAAGAATTTGAAGAATATTTAGAAGAATTACTATTGTAGAAAACTGAAAAAGAAAATAAAACATCCTTATCTATTGCTCATTGCATTTATTTTGCTCCATACTTATTATATATTAAGAGTTTGTGTGATAATAAAAATTATATAAAATGACTCCCAATATAATCACATTGTTTTCGTAAACGATTTCGAATAAGTTTTACCAATACTTTTCAGTAACATAGCTGCCAAATATCAAAACCCAGTTAAAGACAATTCCTTATTTTCATAGCAACCCTCGTCAAATTGTAAAAACACCCGCATTAAAAATCTTGCAAACATCAGCGATTTTGATACCTCTAAGTCTAAATCTAGTATGTGTATACCACATATTATTTAAAAACCGCATTGACCATTTCAAAACCTAGTCGGACTTATTACAAAAAGTGGTTTATTAAATAATTCAAAAAAATTCTGGTTCAACAGAAATCTTAGTACAAAAAAAGTTCCACTACATTCTTCGTGATATTCGACATTTCCTGTAAAATTCCATACTTCATATTTTAATTCGCATATTTTCTCGGTAATTCTTTATTGTATCGGAGAGTTTAAACCTAAGAATAAATATTAGTACATGGAAAAGTCAAGCAACGAGGGAAATTTTAAATATAATATACGCAATTATAATCATATTGGTTCTGTTTTATTTAAACATTAGTTAGTACTCTATCTTTTTATCTTAAGTTTCAAAGGGCAGCCCCAATTTATATTTTGTAAAATTAAACTTATATTTATGGTTTTGCTTAAATCTGGGTTATGATCTGGGGTAGCTTTACAATTCTACATTCATCATATTTATACATTCATAGGCGTGAAAATTATAACATCCATTCAATTTATCCTCAGTATTAAAATCTATTTATCGAAATCTGAAAATAACACAATCGTATTATGATTTAATCATATTAAGTTTCTGACATTTTTAAATGCAATGGTTTTTACGATTTGCTCGCAAATTTGCCGCGATTTTACGATCATAGCTGACAACTGAAATAGCATAAACATTTCGATACACAACATTAATAAAATTTAGATTATCTATAAAAACAGAATCAATCAAAAAGAAAAAAAAAGAAAAAACGTCAAAAATATCATTTATAATGCAGCTATGGAATAACAAACTTGATTAAATAAAAAAAATGAAACAAACTTACCAATTTATGTTTTAGTTAAATACTGCATAGCGCATATAAAGCCGTTCAGACGATTCTATGATCGCTAAAAGCAATAGGAAAAAAATATTACAACTGGAAAAAGCCGTAATTTTTGTTGTTACTTTAAAGCTGAACGCACATTTGATCGCACCTTACGCGCCGCTATTTCGGATGGCCTCACACATTTATACGTACACGCCATATGCAATAGATTTGTACTGCCAGCAACTTTTACAGATTTTCTAACCACTGTTGTGAAACGGTACAATGACATTGATCACTCAGATCGGCTTGGAAAAAATAGCTTGCTTATTGGCAGAGGAAGAAAAAACTAAAATTCCAAGAAAAGGAAGATTCTGGATTCATAATATTAATTTAAATATATGGAAAATATTATACTTTATTTAAAGACTTATTAAACTTAATCGATGCAAAGTTTTTTTAAAATTATGTATAATTAATTAACTTATAAAAATTCAAAAATTATCACGTGACTTCAAAACGCGCCATAAGCGGCTGCCATATTTGAGACGTCATAATATTAAAGCATTGTCAACTGCTCGGATCTGCATATATATTCAGGGAGGAATCGGTGCACGAGTACCGAAAACTATTCCACCCACATATTTTATGCTGTTCTTTTCAAATTGAAAATTTTTGCAATTCAAATGCGCGTTGCCATGAGGAAACTCGGTGCTATATAGTTTAAACCGATTTTTTTTTTAAATTACAAGTAAGTATTATTTTCAAACGGCACATTTTTTTATATTCTTTGATGAAATACGAATTAAAAGGGTACTAAGAATTTTTACGATAGAGGTTATGTTTTTGGAGTAATGAATTTTTAAAAGTTTGAAATATACCAAATCCGAATACTTTTGAGTCATTAAAATATATAAAGAAATATATAGAAAATATTTCTTTAATTCTCGCTTAAGGATATTATTATTTATTTTCTAAAGAATATAAAAAATATCTGTAAATATATAAATGTCTGGTGATTCATTGTTAGCTACACAGTAAAAGTAAATACTCCTGAAATAAAGGAAAAATATATTTCAAAACGAAAGTCGAAACCACCAGTTTTAGTCGAAAACTCACTAAGTTGGCAACATTAGACCACACTGAGTATCAGCACACACCAAACTTGGCGCATTATATGACGTCATCAGCATGTGTCGCGCAATATTCGGATGTCTACCGCATTTCATAAAATGCGGCACGTACGGTGCGGCTGCAATGTGAGATTTCATACAACGAATTCTATGCGGCATGCACGGCGCTGACAAATGCGCGTTCAGCTTAAAACACAGATCGCATACCTTAGAGCATTTTCTGTTAAAGTGAAAAACATAATTCATCAATCATTACTTTTAAACATCTGTAGTTTTAAAATCAAGTTTCAATTTTTTATATAATAAATAACAAAGAACTTTCATCTATACTAGACTCTGCTATATCTAGGCTTAAATACGTCAGATTACAACAACGTATATAAACAAATAAATAGTAGGGCAAAGTTTATCATATAGTTATTAACTACAGCCTGTATGTGCCCTGTAAATAGATATTTTCGACAATTCATTGAGCCTTTCGTAATTGATTGTTATACTCAAGTTTGAATTATCATTAGGTTATTTATTGTGGCCCGCCTTGCAAACGTCTTCATCGTCGGAGCAATCTTCGTCGTGGGTGTGTGTGAGCTGACGAGGAGTTTCCGGTCTCACGTGTGGAACTGATCCTTGAGCCTGAAAGAGGCAATTTACAGTTTTAATACAGCGCTGATTTAAAACTAAAATATATATTACTTTATTAGCTACACTAAACGTAACAATTTTTTATAGAATAAAGGTGAAGTACGAGCACACAGTCCACCTGACGGTAAGTGGATGCTGTGACCCATATATTTCTTCATCTATCCTCAATTAAGAATCAAAATGTAGATTAATCCTGCTATGTAATGTCTATGTATGTATTATAATGAATACATTGAGGAAAAGAATTTTTAAGTGTCTGCCCCTCTCCTGTTCATTGCTATGCCTTTCGAGGTGCACGTGATTGTTAGAACTTACATGTTTTGTTTAGTCTCTAAGTCACATGTAACGCAATTTGTGAATAAATAAATAAATAAATATGTTTCGTATTATGAGTGTAAAGAACTGAACACTTTTTACTAGAAACGAGGCATGCCATGTTAGACTCCATGGGTAGCAACGCATCTGCATTTTGATTCTTAACAGATCATAGTTGTAGATGTCTATGGGCCTCAGTTTCTATTTACCATCAGGTGGACTGTGTGCTCGTTTGTCACCCTTATCCTATTAAAAAACCCGCTAGGACTCCCGTCAGAGTTAAGCAATTGCATTGCATTTTCGCACTACATACCTCGATGTTTAGAATTCTCACGCTTTCTATTAAAAAAAAAATATGTAAAATTTGGCACTAGACGCGTAAACAAACTGATTGTTGCTAGGTTGATTTTTTCACATCAACCTGCCGTGCGGATGTTGTAAAGTTCATACCGACGCTCATTCAGGTCTACGTGTTTGTTATTTGCTATTGTATGGTATTGTAAATGTGTAGTGGCGGTGCAGGAATATGCAATATCCCATGTCATCCAATGGGTTTCGTCAGAGGCGACGGAGGGATCCTGAGCCAGGAGAAGGGCAGCTGCATTTTTTGATAACAGATGAATAAAAAAAAAGTTGCGGTTGCCAAGTGCGGCAACTGTGACAAACATCCCCTCATGGGACAATTTATGGAGGAGGTATAGGTATTCACAGTTATTTGATTTACCTTCACGTCGTTAGTTTCAATTGTTGGGACGGCTACCTCCAAAGATTCTTCCGATCCAATAGTGTATGGACGTTGAACGCTCGAATGTCTAGACCTGTAATATTTAGCAAGAAAATACTTATTGACCGGTTTCAAAACTGGACGTTGGTCAGTATGACCAATATTATGAGACTACACTAATATGATAACAAATCTTGAGGGAAAAGGTCTTTTGGGGTGGATGAGGGACTTTCGAACAATTTACTTTTTACTTAAGGGATGGGTGAGGGTCTTCTGCACAACTTCCTTTTTACGTTGCAGGTGGTTAAGGGACTTTCGAAAAACTTCCTTTTTACTTTGGAGACGTGGGAGAGGAGCTTAAATCCCTCCTTTTTCCCTCCTCCCTTCCTAATTTTTATCCCAATGAGGAAGACCTATGTCCTGCAATATATGTATCTTTGCAGGCTGAGAACCTTAGGCCTAAGGACTTCATCGCCGGTAGATTGTTGCTCCTGTATTATCTTTATTCATAATATGTGTCCGAAGTGGATTTTAATACGTATAAGAGGTACGATTTTGCGTGTTTAATAATTGCGCATGTGAAATATTAGTGGAGACAATAACACAAATGCTTAGATAGTTAAATTAAATTAAAGTGGTTTTTCCGCTAAGATATTATCCCTTGTCCGCTAGGTTAGGTTGTCGTCATAATCCTAGGGAAAATTCGCAAATGAATAAGTTTCTATATTATATACACATAACACTAGGCTGTATGGTCGACATTTTTGCGGCCTATTGAAACGTAAAAAACGCGGAAAAAGTTTCTAGATAATATCGGTGTCGAAATATGTCCAGACATGATCTTAAACAACACATCGAAGAAGTGGCTCAGCGTACTTCCAAAAAAAACTGGCTAAATTTGCGTAGCGCCTGCGACGAATAAAACCGCTTAGAAATTGTCAGAATCTTTAAATATTTTTCATTTCATCAAAATAATGAGCAAGTAAATTATGAATATTTATGTTATGAATATATTTGAGTGAGTCCAAGCATACAGATTAAGTAATTTCGTTGTAATTTCAACTATAGTGATTTTTTAAAGGTGTTTTCGCAAATAATTATGAACGAGTCAAAATTATACAATTGTGTTTTTGAACAACCAAATTCAAGTTAAATACATGAATTTACCTATATCAAAATTCCACTTTCGTTAATGGTGTCATAGTTCTATACTATTCGATGAAAGGAGGTGCATTTTTTCACGGTGTCGCCTTAACGGTATCGGCCCATTAAAAATGCTCTAAGGCATTGAAAGTGTGTACTAGAGCTGTGAATAAGCAGTTTTGTGTTGATACTTTCAAGTTTGCTCTTTTAAGAAGTGTGCGCGTTAACTCACCGGTCAATGGTGGGCGTGTCGACAGTGAAGCGCTGTTCGTGCGCGACGGTGGACTCGTGCGGCATCAGCATGGCGGGCGCGCGGAACATGTAGCAGAACGGGTAGTACATCAGGTTTAGGAACGACGCTGCGTACAGATCCGCGTACCTTACAACCTGAATAAGTCAAAACGCGAAAAATAATTACTCTTATGAGATTTGCCTATGAAGTGTAGAGGTAAGGAATACAGACTGTGTATTAAAAAGTTTCCATAGAAAACCGTTAAATAAGGGTGGCGTCACTATAGCTACGGGCTAAATATTACGAAGATTATTATGATAGACGACTTTTTCGAGGTTATATTTACTAAATAAAATTATTTTAGATTTTAGGCAGTTTAGCAGCACACTTTACACCGTCGACAAATGCTAAGTGCATTTCATGTAGCTGTTTCCTGTAGCTACTCCAGCGCTGTTGTGGAGAGTTTTTGAACTGTTGTTTATTGCTTACAGATGGACACTTTTCAACTATTCTCCTATGAGAGATTGTTCTCCTTACTTCTACACTCCATAGATTTGTCCTTAGGTCATAATATAATGATATAATGGTTTGCCGTGAGATGGCCCCATTCTATCCTGTGGAAATCGTAAGAAACAACTGTGACCCGATTTGAAAAACCACATAGCTTCCTATTGAAGGTGGTCGTATCTTGTATATCATCACATCATCATCATTACAGCCCTTAACAAATCCACTGCTGAACATAGGCCTCCCCCAAGGTATGCAACAAAGCACGGTTCTGAGCCACCTGTAGTATCCATCAACTTCCTGTATGTCTTACCAGGTCGTCACTCCATCTAGTGAGGGGTCGCCCTACACCTCGCCTACCGGTACGAGGCTGCCACTCGAGAACCTTTTTTCCCCAACGGTTGTCAGTTCTTCGAGCTATATGGCCGGCCCATTGCCACTTCAGCTTACTAATCCTATCTTGTATATAGTAGATGTAAAATACCCTACCGGCGACCTCAGATGCAATTTTTGATTTGATGCTGTAAATTCTAATCCGCGTAAAAAGCGTAGTATCCTATATGAGGAGAGGACAATGTCCTGTAATGAATTGTAACGGTCTGATAATAATGATGACCTTGAATCAAATGAGCTTGCAATCAACCTGATGATAAGCGAAGCAACTACAAACACTTGAAGAATACTTCACAAGTTGTAACAATACCGGTACCTTAAAACCGGAACGCGATAGTAGTGGCACAGTTTAAGAAGATAATGGCATAGTAATTTAATCATTACATCCTAATGATTTCTTATATTTACGCGAACATTGCACATGATTAAAACTACTTTTACGGATTTTATCGCGTTTATTTTTTCTTACTTTTTATTTTTATTTTTAATTCCCGACGTTTCGGGCGCTTTCCAGCACCCATGGTCACGGGGGACTGAGATGACTGACGTCCCGATGTCATTGTTAAACCCGGAGTACCTTCAGCTTTTTTTAATTATTGTTTATGGTCCGATCTATGCAAAATGAACTGACTATGTCCTGAGGTCTTGCAGTGGTATGCTTGGGTTTAGTTTTAATTTTATTGATTATAGGATCCCAAGCAGGTGGTAGTACCCAGCCTCCTTCTCTATTGAAATTAGGATGTTTTTTAATTTCAATAGCCTCACGTATCATCCTTGGTAGGAATCGGTGTTCTTTCGCGAGGATTTGTGGTCTATCAAATCTGATGTAATGGTTGGGGCCGTCTAGGATATGATCACAAACTGCAGACTTCCCGGAACGTTGATGCTTCACATCAGCTATATGTTCTTTTACGCGGGTCCTAATTGATCTTTTGGTTTGTCCTATATAAGAGAGACCACATTCACAATCAAGCTTGTACACTCCTGCATCTTGTAGAGGAATATGACACTTGACGGATGGTAGGAACTGACTAATCTTCTTCGGCGGCTTGTAGAATGTTCTAATAGAAGCTCGCTTCAAGATATAGCCAATCTTGTCTGTGACACCTCTGACATATGGTAGTACAGCAGGCACACGCTCGACTGTGGCCGGCTTCACTCGGTCATTGTGACGTAGGCGCGGGACCCGAAGCTTGTTGTCGTGCAGAACTTGCTTGACGTGCTGAAGCTCGGCGGCCAGGTGTTTGCTGTCACAGATCCCTCGTGCTCTCTGTAACAAAGATTTGCCCACGGTAGCTAACTGTGAAGGATGGTGGTGAGATTCACCGTTTAAATATCGGTTTGTATGGGTCTTTTTCCTATACACAGTGTGACCAATGGTGTTATTAGGATTTCGGATGACTAACACATCTAGGAAAGGTAAGGAATTATTTGCCTCTAACTCCATAGTAAATTGAATTTTAGCGTTTATGGAATTAAGATGTTCTAAAAATGCAGTTACTTTGTCTGATGGTAAAATTGTGAAAGTATCGTCTACGTACCGCTTGTAGATCCTTGGTGTAACAGGTGCAGTAAGGAGGGCTTTCTCCTCAAAGTCTTCCATGAATATATCGGCGACAATGGGAGATACAGGTGAGCCCATCGCCACACCATCTACTTGCTTGTAAAACTCTTCCTTCCACAATAGATAGCCAGATGTAAGGCAATGTCTTAGTAATACTGCATATTCTGCTGGCATGTTATTTTCCTCTAGTTTCCTAGTTATAATTGAGATGCAGTCTTCAACAGGTAGGCATGTAAATAGAGACTGAACATCAAAACTGACCATGGTTTCATTGTCAGTAAGATGTAGGTCTTTTATCTCACTGACAAAATGGTATGAATCCTTAGTGTGTGCTCTTGTGTGTCCTCTGAGTGGTGATAATATTTTAGCTAAGTATTGAGCCAATCTGTAAGTTGGCGAATCAATCTGACTCACTATTGGACGTAATGGAGCATTCGGTTTGTGTATCTTTGGTAACCCATACAACTTCGGTGGTTTGGCACAGGAAGGTATTATCGAATTAACGTCCAGATTCAATTTTTCGGAGTATTTCTTAATTAGATCGCTAGTTGTTTTAAGCGTATTAGTTGTAGGGTCTGTTTTGACCTTTCGATAAGTAGTTTCATCCGACAAAAGTTGTTGTATTTTAAAATTGTAATCTGACGTATCCATTATAACCGTAGAATTACCTTTATCTGCGCGGAGAATCGTAAGCTCTGGTCTGTTGCGTAAGTTTTTCAACGCGTTAAATTCATTTTTGGGGAGATTTAATTTCGGCGCTGAACTTCGACGTAACATAGACGAGATGTCTTGACGTATGGCCTCTAAATCTTCATTACCAATATTATTTTTATACAGACAGTCCTCAACACTACAGATAATGTCCTCATACGGTATTTTTCGCGGTGTTATTGCATATTCATGGAAGACTTTGAGGAGAAAGCCCTCCTTACTGCACCTGTAACACCAAGGATCTACAAGCAGTACGTAGACGATACTTTCACAATTTTACCATCAGACAAAGTAACTGCATTTTTAGAACATATTAATTCCATAAACGCTAAAATTCAATTTACTATGGAGTTAGAGGTAAATAATTCCTTACCTTTCCTAGATGTGTTAGTCATCCGAAATCCTAATAACACCATTGGTCACACTGTGTATAGGAAAAAGACCCATACAAACCGATATTTAAACGGTGAATCTCACCACCATCCTTCACAGTTAGCTACCGTGGGCAAATCTTTGTTACAGAGAGCACGAGGGATCTGTGACAGCAAACACCTGGCCGCCGAGCTTCAGCACGTCAAGCAAGTTCTGCACGACAACAAGCTTCGGGTCCCGCGCCTACGTCACAGTGACCGAGTGAAACCGGCCACAGTCGAGCGTGTGCCTGCTGTACTACCATATGTCAGAGGTGTCACAGACAAGATTGGCTATATCTTGAAGCGAGCTTCTATTAGAACATTCTACAAGCCGCCGAAGAAGATTAGTCAGTTCCTACCATCCGTCAAGTGTCATATTCCTCTACAAGATGCAGGAGTGTACAAGCTTGATTGTGAATGTGGTCTCTCTTATATAGGACAAACCAAAAGATCAATTAGGACCCGCGTAAAAGAACATATAGCTGATGTGAAGCATCAACGTTCCGGGAAGTCTGCAGTTTGTGATCATATCCTAGACGGCCCCAACCATTACATCAGATTTGATAGACCACAAATCCTCGCGAAAGAACACCGATTCCTACCAAGGATGATACGTGAGGCTATTGAAATTAAAAAACATCCTAATTTCAATAGAGAAGGAGGCTGGGTACTACCACCTGCTTGGGATCCTATAATCAATAAAATTAAAACTAAACCCAAGCATACCACTGCAAGACCTCAGGACATAGTCAGTTCATTTTGCATAGATCGGACCATAAACAATAATTAAAAAAAAGCTGAAGGTACTCCGGGTTTAACAATGACATCGGGACGTCAGTCATCTCAGTCCACCGTGACCATGGGTGCTGGAAAGCGCCCGAAACGTCGGGAATTAAAAATAAAAATAAAAAGTAAGAAAAAATAAACGCGATAAAATCCGTAAAAAGTAGTTTTAATCATTACATCCTATCAAAAGTCCACTGCTGAATCTGACCAGTCTATAAAAATGTGCGCGTGTGTGTGCGCGCGTGTGCGTGTGTATGAATGAGAGCGCGTGCGCGTGTGCGTGTGTATGAATGAATGCGCACGATTGTGTGTGTGCTCGCGCGTACATAGTATGAAGAATAAATAATTGGCGGACAGTGAGAATTTTGCAGCTTTGATATAGGTAGCTCTGTAATAGGCTAGGAAAATGTGAGAAAAAGGCTAAAAAAGCTTAGCGTTAACTACAGCAGAAACGTATCGAATCGAAGCGCGCCCCATTTATTCCTAGTGCGTCCATCTCTGAAGAATCGAATCGAATTGTTCATTCACCGCAAACTCTTCATCAAATTAGGTCGTTTTTGCGTCATGGAAAGCTCGGATGAAGAAATGTTTTTATTTCAAATAATTTTGATGAAGGGGAGAATAGAAAAAGGAAACGGCATGCTCCCATAAACTGGATACACGATATTTATATGAAAAGAAATAACTATGGCGAATTTCATCATGTATATCCAGATTTGAAAAGGGATCCTGTTAAGTTTTTTCAATATTTTCGTTTATTTTATGAAAAACTTCAACTTTCGCTGGACTCAATTGGGCTGTGTAAAGAAACTACAAGATTCAGGAAGATATTGTTGGACCAGTGATATCAATAGTTCATATTTATTTAAACAAAAAGATTTTTATGAAAACTAAATAGAAATTAATAACGCGTAATACGTTGTCGCGCATCCACTTCTCCGCGTCGACTATAGATTACTGTATTTACTAGAGAGGGTCGACTGAGGCGCGCCGAATTGAATCTAATCGCATCGGCGCGGCGAGGAGATTCGCCTGTCCAGCAATGTACGCAGTTTCATAGTAGATATATAGGAGGCGACTCTCTGCGATTCGATTCGACTCGGTTCGGCGAGCCAAGTGGACGCGGGCCCAACGCCTTCTTAGGCCATACCAGGGGCCTTGGGAACACAAGAATTTGGGGCCCTGTTGGAAAGTAAAAAACAAAAGTGAATGACAAAAACATTTTCTGCTATGATCTTATATTTATTATAGTTGATTGGTAAAAATCAAACAATTTTTGTGCCATCAGGGCGGCGCCACTTTACAATAAGCTAAAAATTTTTTTAAAGATTTCATAGCGGGGACGATAATTTCTTAGAAAAATGTAAACTTTAATGTTTCTTTCCTAAACTTTCTTTCAAAAAATGAAAATATTCTATAACATCAATATATGATTTTTTTATTTATAACATTAAAATTTAAGCTTTACTCTAACAATTAAATAACAATTATTTGCTATAAAATGTATTTGTATTGTGGTTGAAAATTATCATATTAAATAAATCATTTGCCGTTAAATCTTTTGAAGTGTTATTTTTGTTAAACAATAAGAAATTATATTTTTATTTCATAGATTATAGATACATAGATCTCTAGAATCCAGGCCATAAGTAAGTAAACGCCCGGCGGCGAAACGGGGAACTACATATTTTCTACCTAGGAAATCTGTTAATGCCTTTTGTGCAGTGTTGCCAGAAAGTCACTAACAACGCCCTCATTTACTCTATATTTTTTTGTCGGGTTATATTTAAGATTGTATAGCGTAAGCGAATAAGGGGGGGTCCCCAGAGACGATAGGGGGTCCTGAGCACGGGACCCGTGTGCTCTTATGGTAAAGACGGTATTGCGCGGGCCTTAACATTAACATTAAGAGATGCTCGTTGAACAGGCTCTAATTTAAGCAGATTTGGTTTTAAAATAAAAAAAAACTGAGACCAATTACGAATGGTCCTTATTACAAATCTTTAACATTCAACCCAATCCTTCTCTGAAATTTTGACATAAGCGTTGTATCCGATACACCGTACACCGAGTCACTACGTTCTTTGATTATTAACCTGTACTTTTTGACAACTTTCTATTGTATACGGAATAAAAATGATATGATATAAAAAATATTTAAAAAATAATATCACTTACTTGTGAAGAGAAGAATGTCTGTCGCGATCCGGAGCGGAAAAGCGAGCCGAGCATACCGTACGCGAGGTCCATCTTGTGCGTCACGTCGCGTATCGAGGCACGCAGCTTCGATATGTCCGGTTTCTCTTTCGTGCTCGAATCCAAATCTCTATAATTAATAAAATAAGCAAAGTTAGATGAAAATAGAGAGCGATGGAAAGGGCTGTTATGCTCGGAATATTAATCTCTGTAGTATATATGACAATGGGCCGGCCATATAGCTTGAGAATCGACAACTGATAGAGAACAAAGGTTCTCGAGAAAAAAGCTTCGTACTAGCAAGTTCAGCTCAGACTGGCGATTGAAATGCCCGTAAAGAGTGCTCTATAATTCAGTCCTCCACATTTATTTTATTTTTATTTATTTATTTCTGAAACTTACAACTATCATTACAGGATTACCTAATGTGATAGTGTAGCTGTCTAACTGATTTGTGTAGATTATTTAATTTTTGTAACAAATTACAAACAATGTTGTCTTTGTGAATTCACTCAGAGTACAACAAAATAGGTCCGTCTCACAAGCTATTAAGTTGAGCGTGCGGAGTGTGCGCGTGCGTTAGAGGTGTCTCATTTAGAAGGTTGGTCCGACCCATAGAATACTATAATACGAGGCCTCTATCACTCTTGCTACCTACGTGAAATAATTACCTAAAATCGCGACGCGCCCGGGCGAAATAACGCAGTCAGGGCTAGCGCGTTGGAGGCGATTGAATGTTAAAGTTTTTTAACGCTGTTTACGTATATAACTTTTTGTAAATATTGTTGAAATAGTTTTTGTTTAGTGTTTAGTATATTTAATTATAGGATAAAATAGTTCAAAAGTTTTAATGTAATTTAAGAACTATATATTATGTATATTACCCATTATTTAATAAGTTTTGATATGGCAAAACGTCGTTCCTAATATAATTGTTGCGTGGATAGACGCTAAATGACCAACAAAATATTTCAGATATATCGTTCTTTATTACCGAAGGATTTTAGTAGGAAGTTATGAAACGTGAATTTATTTAATTTTCATTGTTAGAGAGGTACTTATAGCAAAAAAGAATTAAGTAATAATTTATTTAATATCCACGAACATTATTACAAAATTTTGTGGAAATTTACTTCACTATCCAAGTATCTACTTACGTACATATACTTGCCTTTTGTATTAAAATATTTTAAGCTTTTATTTTAGCTTAAAATATTTTAAGCTAAAATAACACAAAACACTAAAATCAATCTGACTCAACTCTGATCAAACTGAAATTTTAACTAAGTATAATACAATTACATTTCTGTTAGGAATCATATTTCAAGTTTATTTGTTGTTTACACTATCTACATTTTCCTCCCGAGCCAAGCGTAGCGATTCCCGATGAATGGCCTTGCAAGTTGCATGCGTTAGGCATCGCAGAACTCACGTAGGTGCGAAAATATGGTCTGTCGATTATAGTCAGAATAGGTATTTCATTTCACCTAAGTAACCTAATTAATATTTCGCAATGTATTTTGTTACTCTTTATTGACATACCTCTATAACAACGGAGAGTCCACCGTAACGTACGAAGAGGAAAATGTGCAAAGTAATACGGACATTCTCGCGCAGCGATAAAGTTTTATTTAGTTTGCGAGCGCGATTTATCTAATTAATAATTATTATGTAGGCTATTAAACGTCGGCAAGCAGTCAAAATTAAAAGGGTGAAACTTCTGTACGTAGTACTCTGTGATAATACATACATAATAGAACGGGGGAATGGGCGGAGCCCGTGTAGCCACTAAAATGTCACGAACACGTCAATTCACACGTATAAACGTCAATACGAGATGTGTTTTGACGTTACAATCGTTTCCAAATTTCGCATGCAAATTATTTAGAAAACGCCAAATTACACGCTATTTACAAATAAATATGTATTAACATCTGTCTGTCAACACAGCGAATCGGGATTGTAGTAGTGATAATACTACGTAACTGCTTGTATGTGTGCTCCCGGCGCGCTAATCGTCGTATAAAATAAGGTTGACAGCCATTCTATTGTGTATTATAGTATTCTATGGTATATATAGCACAGATCTCTTGGCATTATTTTCTGTTCTTAAAGTTTAATTACAATCGCAAAAAAACAAGTATATAACAGCATCAATTATTATATGTATATATTCCTAGATGTATAGATTTATTATAGTACACAAAAAAATTTTAAAACAAAATTTTAAAAAAAATTGTTAACTTTGGTATGTCATTCCAAATATTGTAATAAAAGTCAATTGAAAGTTTTATTTTAAACATTTTAAAGTACAGTAATGTCTCTCTTATTAGAATCAATAACTATGACACAATGATCCCTTGGAGGATTAGGTTATGACAAGCAATAATTAATTTACAACTTTTAATCATGCACCTATATGTAAAAGAATATAAAAGGAAAAAAATATATAAAAAAAAATATTTTCATACCAGTGAATGTGAATCAAATTTCAATCCCAGTCAGATGTTATAAAATTTGAACTTAACCTTGTAGATCTATTCAAATGTGATAAATTAAAAAAAATGTTTGTTTTTTGTTATCACGTACGTAATTATGCAAAATAACTACTGGAAATAAATTTGCCTTATAGCATCGGTCGTAGCAATCGAAAATAAGTAAAATATGGAGGTTACTTAATTTGTTTTATTTGTTTAAAAATCTTACCCAAGACTAGAGAGAAGATATCACCTGTATCGTGAATGTGTTTTTCATAATAAATAAACTTAACAAGAGTAAATGGGCTTTTGTTAAGCTAAGTCATTAACGAAAAAAAGCAAAAAAAAAAGCCTATTAACTATTTACCTACAGTTTAATAAATTACAATTCATTTTGTGCACGCTTTAGTTCATGTGTTTGACTTCTTTCTTACATGATAGTAAGTGGTGATGTAGTTCACGATGATAAACGGAGCTGACTTAGGTAATGAAAAACATGTTTACCCCACAGTATCGAGTCAAAAGACGGTGGCTAATTATTCCACTCCTTTCCTGTAGGCATTACGAATCACCAAGCAAATATTTTGGTTCGAGCAAGTGGTATGTCAACAAAAAAGTTTTATATGATTAACGAAAAAAACCTTTATAATAAAATCAACAACTTGAAAATAATATTAATAAGTTCTAAGTTTAATTTCATCATATTAAAAATATTACCATCATTGTGCATCTTAGCAAATGCACTTTCTTTTTCTTGTTTTGACTGTCGAAATATAAATGATTTTTAAAAATAAGAATGGGTTTACATCCGGTTGTAAAACGTAAATTGTAATCTTACCTACGTGTAACAATTTCAAACGTAAAGAACAAATCACTACTAACAATATTAGAGGTCAATCAAATACATTATGAAGTTGTGAAGATGGTGTTAAATACCTGTTACTTTTATAGGTAATTTTTTCATTCAATTCTATAGGCTAAGTCGCAATGTATTTAAATCAATTTTACGAATGTAAATGATTTCGTTCAAGAAGAAATATTGCGGTTAAAGTTCTGGTCAAGACGAAAGCGGCATTGGCATTGGAAACAGAATGTGCTGCTGCTGCATTTTGCTTGATAGAAAACTGAAGCTAGGAAGTTGTACAATGAGCATAGTGACACCTGATAGATCAAATGTTACTCACTTATACATATCTCCCAACTGAACGTCGAGGTTCTGCAGCTGCGCGAAGAGCTGACACTTATCGGTCCACACGTGCAGCTCCTGTACTAGCTCGGGCACTATGAGGAATGTACGCCAGCCTCCGATCTTCTTCGACTTGAGAATGTCGCCGAATATGTGGTCGCCTATATACAACACGTCCTTGCCTTTCGCGCCGATCAATTCCGTGAACACGTCGCATGAGCCTCAAAAATAATAAAACTATGAATAAAGAGAACATCTAATCTTAATAAAAAACTAAATTTGACAGCTGATGGTAGGTGGAAGCTGTGGCATACCTACATCTATTCTCAAGAAATCAAAATGTATATGCGTCGTCATCCCTATGGACTAAAACAGAATGCATCGCTTCCAGTAACAACGATCTGTTCTCTACACTCACAATAGATACAATTCATTTTGCAGTTGTAGGTGTTTATGAACCACCCATCACGACATCATATTCGAAGTTGGTTGCTGGTGTCCAAGGGCTGCAGTGGCCACGTGTCATCAGGTGGACTGTAAGTTCTTTTGTCATTTCAGTTTCATTTTTTTTAAACTAATATTAGGAACGAAGTACGCACGCAAACAAATTGCTTGTTATGAAACTTGATATAAAGTTTATCTAGAGTTGAAACTGTTATAGTCGTCTACAATTCAAAAGTGATAACTAAATCATACGATGGTAATTATATTTATTTAAACAAATGTTACAATTACAAGTGACAAGGTCTCTTTTATATAGGACAAACAAAAAGATCAATTAGAACCCGCGTAAAAGAACATATAGCTGATGTTAAGCATCAACGTTCCGGGAAGCCTGCAGTTTGTGATCATATTCTAGGCGGACCCAACCATTAGGTACATCAGATTTGATAGACCACAAATCCTCGCGAAAGAACACCGATTCCTATCAATGATGATACGTAAGACTATTGAAATTAAAAAACATCTTAGTTTCAATAAAGAAGTAGGCTGGGTACAACCACCTGCTCGGGGCCCTATAATCAATAAAATTAAAACTAAACCCAAGCATACCACTGCAAGACTTCAAGACACAGTCAGTTCATTTTGCATAGATCGGACCATAAACAATAATTAAAAAAAGCTAAAGGTATGTTTAACAATGACACGGAATCCCACGGCCTGGGGAAAACGGCCCAAACGCCGGGGGAAAAGTAATTCAAATTAAATGCGATAAAATCCGTAAAAGTAGTTTAGTAAGAGAACATGAGTAAAAAAAACCACGCGTCAAAACGGAGAGAAAATGCCAGAATATATAGAGTTGTACTTGTATCCGACAAAATAACTGACGATTGCCCATCATTATCGAAGCCGAGGCATTGAAGCAGCGCCCACGCTGCGATGATCTAAAACGTATGCGGTACCTACACGAGTGACTTGTCTAACAAAACACAATTACATTACACAATTTCGTCTTCATACGCACAAAAAACATACATTAAATATGCCTACCTCCCGAATAAACAAGTCCTTCATGCAGCGGTCCGACATGGTGTCCCATCTTCAAAGCTCCAGTGCGTGTGTCCACTTGCCTCAATGTTGTGCCCTCACCGAAAAACAGCGGCTTTTTAGCGTCCACTACTATCCAGTCGAAGTAGGTCCTCCAATTTCTGTGAGGGTCGTTGACCTATAGTGAAAACAAACTGTATAAATTTCAAAGGTCATAATTAAACTTCTAGTGACTACCAGCACGGGTTTAAGGTGAAGTGTTGAATGACCCGACCGCTCGCAACAACTGAAATGTAGGTGCCGATAGAAATTCTCCAGGAATCAGTTACAGTAAAGTAAAAAGTAAAGTTACAATCTATATACGTCCCACTGCTTTGCACAGGCCTCCCCTCATTTCTGAAAGGGGTTTAGGGCAAGGAAGGTTCCGCCGCGCTGCCCCGATGCGTGTTGGTGAACTTCACATGTCTTCGAAATATTTTTTTTCTTATTCCTCAGACATGCAGGTTTCTTCACGATGTTTTCCTTCACCGCTGAGCACGTGGTAAATCAGCACTTAAAATTGCAATTAACAATTTCATTGGTGCAGGCGGGGATCGAACCCGGGTTACTCGCGTTCTGTTATATTTACAGCGAGCGTTAACCATCTGAACTACTACGGCTCACTATCAGTTACAGCTAACATATCAAATCAAAGTCAACAACACTACGCAAACGACACAAAATGTAAACCGTGGTATTTTTCGTATAGACTTCGTAATATTTCTATAGAGTAGCAGAGAGCAGTAGAAACTTGACCGCTGGTTAATTGTTGGTATATCGCTTTATTAATGGTTTGAAGTTGATTTTGATACGTACAAGTAATGCAATTACAAGATGTATACAATAATAAGTGCCTGTGCATGTGCACTATTAGTGGAAACAAATAAGTGTCCTGACATTGTTTTAGGTCCGCCACATTTACAACATACCGAATTTGTATAAATTTTCCCGCAAACGAACGGAAAACTACCGTAGGTATATGATGGGACCTTGATTTTATACGGACATGATGCGTTCGGAATCCCGAATTGGAATTCCGAAACGGAATTCCATATTATTTATGTGGCCGGCCTTAAACCTCAAGTAACAAGACTGTTAAGCGCCTTCAGAATATCATCATTAACTGTCTGTTAGCTCAAGCTGCTGTCACAATTTCCTAATAACTACATGAAGCATTAATATTTCATAAAGAAGTTTTAAACCAATCCTTATATTTTACTACTGACACTGGCAAAAGTATAACCGTACAAATCCATTATAAAAGCACTCCTCTCCCTGGACACCTACAAGTCGAGTGGGCCTGACGGAATCCCCCCAATTGTGCCGAGGACGTGTGCTCCAGAGTTGGCACCGGTTTTAAAGCGTCTTTTCCGGTACTCCTACTCCCTAAGCGTAGTCCCAAAATCATGGAAGACGGCTTTCGTCCACCCGATCCCTAAAAAATGTGACCGCTCAAACCCGTCCAACTACCGGCCTATCGCCATCACCTCCTTGTTCTCCAAACCAATGGAGTCCATTGTAAACTGCCAGCTCATAAGGTACCTTGAGGATCACCAGCTGATTAGTGACCGCCAATACGGTTTTCGCCGTGGTCGGTCAGCTGGTGATCTTCTGGTCTACCTAATTCACAGATGGGCGGAGGCAGTAGAGTCCAAGGGGGAGGCATTGGCCGTTAGTTTGGACATTGCGAAGGCCTTCGATCGGGTTTGCCACAAAGCGCTTCTTTCGAAGCTCCCTTCCTGTGGGCTTCCCGAGAAATTGTGCGATTGGATCACCAGTTTTCTTGCAGATCGGAGCATCAAGGTCGTTGTTGACCGTGCAAGCTCCGATTGCAAGCCTATTAATGCTGGTGTTCCACAGGGCTGCGTGCTATCGCCAACGCTGTTTCTTCTGCATATCAATGATATGTTGCAAACCCGTAACATTCATTGCTATGCAGATGACAGCACTGGTGATGCTCTTTACACCGGTCGAGCCAATATTTCTCGGGAAAACGTCTCCGAGTGCCGGAATAAACTTGTGTCTGAAGTCGAGTTTTTGCTGAACAGAGTCTCGGATTGGGGGCGACTAAATCTAGTCCAGTTTGATCCCCAGAAGACACAAGTTTGCGCGTCAACCGCTAAAAAGAACCCCTTTGTCGTATCTCCTCAGTTTCAAGGCACTCCCCTTGTTGCCTCAGCCAGTATTGGAATCCTCGGCGTCGACATATCGAGTGACGTTTCTGGTCACTTGGAAGAGAAGGCCAAATTGGCCTCTAAAAAGCTTGGCGTGCTCAGCAGAGCGGGACAGTATTTCACGCCGGCACACCGCCTGCAACTTTACAAGGCGCAGGTTCGGCCGCACATGGAATACTGTTCCCATCTCTGGGCTGGGGCTCCCCAGTACCAGCTCCTTCCACTTGACCGCATCCAGCGCAGAGCGGCTCGATTCACTGGCACTGCGAAGAGATGTTGCATCTCTTTGCATTTTCTTTCGTATATACCATGGAGAGTGCTCTGAGGAATTGTTCGGACTTAATCCCAGCCGCCAAATTTCGTGAACGCACTACGCGGCAAACGTCCCGATACCATCCATACCATCTGGATGCTTGGCGGTCCACCACTGTACGTTTCAAGAGGAGTTTTCTTCCGCGTACAACCTTTCTGTGGAATAGTTTACCACCGGCGATTTTTCCGGACCGATACGACCTGGGGACCTTCAAGAAAAGAGCTTACTTCTTTCTAAAGGGCCGGCAACGCACCTGCAATTCCCCTGGTGTTGCGGTTGATCATGGGCGGCGGTAGTCACTTAACATCAGGTGAGCCGCATGCTCGTTTGCCCCCCTCTTCTATAAAAAAAAAACATTTCTATCCTACATTTTAATAATTATTTTAAACACAACAAAAAATATTTTGCCATCCTCAACTATTTTATATAATAAAAAATAACAATATGCATAATACATCACAATAACTTTTAGATTTATCCGTAACAGGAAACCGGAACCTTATTCAGTAGGCGGTATTCTAATGCCACATTCCAAACTCACTTTCTGATTCTAAACATAAACTATCGCATACATAATGCTTTCCGCTAACTAGTTTTTACTGACGTTAATTAAAATAATACGACACAAATATATAATAGTGACTTTGTACCGTGGTTTTAGTCTTGTAGAATAATTGCTGTAGAAATATATTCGCAAGTAATGTTACCCGAGTCAAAGTTTAAACGAAATATTATACAAATTTAAACATCGATGAACAGAAATAAATTTCTAGGAAAATTCCAAGCCGCGTCTGCAAATTGTATAATTCTATTCTAAAAATATAAAAAATATGAAGCGGTAGTCGACAAATTTAATCAGTACAGAAAAAAGTACAAAAGTATATATAATTATTTATATTAAGTTTTATTACGACAGTTTATCCGTAATGCCCAGTCAGCGGGCAAGTTTTACAAAGCCAAGATAGCAAGTTGTGCTAATAATTCAGCCAGCTAGTTACTCTGGCCGCGTGTATACAGAACCAACTTTATTGTAATAAAACTAATACTAATAGTAATAAGTAAGGGCGTTAATGGGTAGTGAACATTCCCTAGGCTATTCAACTTTACAACAAAAGTACCTTTTACTAAAGTTTAAATTTAATATATCTCGGATCAACTACATAAGTACTATTCGATAGTAACTGATTTAAATACATAAAAATGTAATACACTTACTTGCGCTCCATGCGGGAAATCGAACAGGTAATTCATGATTTTGTCCGTAAAATTGTAATCGCTGTTCGTCAGTATAAACAGCTTCGCTCCGCTCTCCCTTATTCTAGACAGGAACATTGGCAGCCTCTCATCCTTCTTCAGGTACAGATCCAGGTTTTCTATAGTCTTCGATTTGAGATCACCGTGTATATGGACAAAGTCTACTGCACTCCGCACATCTTGAAATATTGACTTAAATGACATAGCTAAATCGCCGCATCTCACTCCAGTCTTCCCCCTAAAACGAATCCATAAACGTTATGTAACGAAAATTAAAAAAACATATAAATTTTATTTCACCATTATCCTATTAAATTCTACAGGTGGACGAATGCAACGCTTGTAGTGTTTGATACAAACACCACGCTTGAGAAGTGAGTTGGTTATCACAAGGTCCATAACCTGGATATAGTATTTAGACCCAGCCAGTTATTGACAGGTGTCCAGCTCATTGCCAGTTTAGCGTACTAATCTATTAGACTTTATTATTGATTGTGATGTGATTCTACTTCCAATATATTAGTCATGCAAAAAAAAACCCAGTTTTCACCCTCATCATATTTTTCAACCGACTTCAAATAAGTAGGAGTTTTGCAATTCGTCGGAATCTTTTTTTTATTATAATTTATTGTAAAGGTGGAAGCCTGAAAATCCGTATTTTACCATTGTAAGAAAATTATCATCCTCATTCTCACAGACTATCAAAACTCACAGCTTAACATAGGTCAGGGAGTATATTGGCCATAGTTGGCACGTTTGGCAGGCGGTTTGACACACATTATTTTTTTTATAGAAGAAGGGACAAACGAGCATGCGGCTCACCTGATGTTAAGTGACTACCGCCGCCCATGATCAACCGCAACACCAGGAGAATTGCGGGTGCGTTGCCGGCCCTTTAGAAAGGAGTAAGCTCTTTTCTTGAAGGTCCCCAGGTCGTATCGGTCCGGAAAAATCGCCGGTGGTAAACTATTCCACAGAGAGGTTGTACGTGGAAGAAAACTCCTTGTGAAACGTACAGTGGTGGACCACCAAGCATCCAGATGGTGTGGATGGTATCGGGACGTTTGACGTGTAGTGCGTTCACGAAATTTGGCGGCTGGGATTAATCCGAACAATTCCTCAGAGCACTCCCCGTGATAGATGCGATAAAATACGCAAAGAGATGCAACATCTCCTCGCAGTGCCAGTGAATCGAGCCGATTGGAAAGCACTCGGTCGTCGACGATTCGAGCCGCTCTGCGCTGGATGCGGTCAAGTGGAAGAAGCTGGTACTGGGGAGCCCCAGCCCAGAGATGGGAACAGTATTCCATGTGCGGCCGAACCTGCGCCTTGTAAATTTGCAGGCGGTGTGCCGGCATGAAATACTGTCCCGCTCTGCTGAGCACGCCAAGCTTTTTAGAGGCCAATTTGGCCTTCCCTTCCAAGTGACCATGAAACTGCACGTCACTCGATATGTCGACGCCAAGGATTCCGATACTGGCTGAGGCAACAAGGGGAGTGCCTTGAAACTGAGGGGATACGACAAAGGGGTTCTTTTTAGCGGTTAACGCGCAAACTTGTGTCTTCTGGGGGTTAAACTGGACTAGATTTAGTCGCCCCCAATCCGAGACTCTGTCCAGCAGAGACTCGACTTCAGAAACAAGTTTATTCCGGCACTCGGAGACGTTTTCCCGAGAAATATTGGCTCGACCGGTGTAAAGAGCATCACCAGTGCTGTCATCTGCATAGCAATGAATGTTACGGGTATGCAACATGTCATTGATATGCAGAAGAAACAGCGTTGGCGATAGCACGCAGCCCTGTGGAACACCAGCATTAATAGGCTTGCAATCGGAGCTTGCACGGTCTACAACGACCTTGATGCTCCGATCTGCAAGAAAACTGGTGATCCAATCGCACAATTTCTCGGGAAGCCCATAGGAAGGGAGCTTCGAAAGAAGCGCTTTGTGCCAAACCCGATTGAAGGCCTTCGCAATGTCCAAACTATTTTCTTTTCGCGTTGTTATTAGGAAAACCTGGCTACCCATATCCTGATTTGTTTCCTTCTCTCGCCTTTTAGGAAACTCACGGGACAATATGGGGTAGTGGATATTCCCACATCTCCAATACACCGTAAACAACATAAGTAGTATGAAAACTTCAAAATAATTTAAGTAAAGACAAGTGTTATTTATTCAAAAGTTCAAAGTTAATTTTAAACAGCTACAATAGCAATTCCTTCAAAGAAAATTTCGTAAATTTTTCCATGCTCGTATTTGGTACGAGTCTTCGTAAATTTCACTAAAATAAAATTTAAGGGAATTTGTTTATTCGCACTAACTTTTTACGGATCTTTACTGAGTTTACTTTTCCCACACGACGCTGTGAGACAGCACGCGTTTTAGCCATGCTCACTGACGAGTTCAATCCTTAGATTAGTGCAACCTTAAACTCACTTAGACGGCCGGCCAAAGGAGAACCACGTTTATGTTTTACTGTTTGTTTTGATGTTTGAGGAATACTAGACGAGATGTGTCATAATTTCTAAACTCTGCGTTTACTCTGTTCTACAAAACATGTATTCGGGATATTATGTACTTCATGGCGTAAAATCATTAAACTAAGTTTATATCTATTACGTGTGGTTGTAGTATATAGTACTTGTAGTAACATAATAATAAATATAAAATATTCTGTAAGTAAATATATTTTTCTAGTTTTCTATTTTTTATTCTTCTATGGCTACAGGTCTCCTACGAATTCATTTCGTGTGTTGTATTTATAACGGAAAGGTAAGTTTTATAGGCGGTATTGCCTTGTCGGTGTAGTGGTCATAAACGTGGCTGCTAAACTTGAGGTGCCAGGTTCGAACCCAAGTCAGGCAAAATCAGTTATTGGGTTTATTCCGTGAAAACATTTTTAAAAGCAGCCCGAAGTCAAAAAGGTAGCAGTATTTAATCCCCGTGCCCCGGAAAGTACGTAAAAACGTCAGCCTTGCGCCTAATCTCTCTCCAGTTGTGTCAGATTGCAGTCCCATCGGAATATGAGAGTAAGAGTGCACCTGTGCTTGCGCATCATACACTCGAACACTCCAATCCTGTCCTCCGCAGATATAAGGGTAATCTCCGTTGCAGCTGGCCGCCGTGACCGAAATCCGGTCTGGAGGATATTATAAAATGAATATCAGGGAAATGTAAAAATATTTTTTTTTATATAGGATAGAGTGACAAACGAGCACACAGTCCACCTGATGGTAAGTGGTTGCTGCGGCTCATAGACATCTACATCTATCTTCGATTACAAATCAAAATGCAGATGCGTTTAGCTGGAATGCCTAGTTTCCAGTAAAAAGGGTCTCCGGTTCTCTACACTCACTACACTGAACACAGCAGCATTAAGCGACTATTTTACCCTGGTATTCTGTGAGAGCGTGGTCCTTCCCCGGTTGAGCCGACCCATTCGTGCTGCAACTATACTAATCTTTTTGAATCCAAATTATGTTACGACATAACTTGGCCACTTACCATTTTTGTATTATATATATATATATATATATATATATATATATATATATATATATATATATATATATATAATATTAACTTAATATACATTAAGTAAGAGGTAAGTAAATTTACTTTTGATTAAATAAGTGTAGATGAAATAATGAAAGCAATGAAAAGCATGAAAGCAGGTAAGGCAGCCGGATATGACAGAGTATCAGTGGTGGCAGGCCTGCTGTACACCTTGTTTAATTTATGTTGGGAATTAAAACGGGTACCGGATGACTGGTGTAAAGCAGTTATAGTACCATTATAAAGGAAAAGAGTCACAGCAGGACTGCAAAAACTACCGTGGTATCAGCTTGCTTAGTATTGTGGGTAAGCTGTATGCTAAGGTGTTAATTGAAAGAGTTATGAAAGAAACTGATGGAAAAATTTGGGATGTGCAAGCGGGTTTTAGAAAGGGAATGGGGTGTACAGATCAAGTCTTTTCCATGCGCATGATTGCGGAGAAGTTTTTGGCCAAAAACCAGAAAGTTTTTTGTGCGTGTTTGTGTTGGAAAAGGCTTATGACAGAGTGGACAGGAATGTGTTATGGCAAACACTGAACTCATATGGGTTGAGCGCTGGTTTGATACAGGCATTAAGGTCTCTTTATAGGGACTCTAGTGCTTGTGTCAGGATCAATGGGGTCTACTCGGACTGGTTTGGCATCAATCAAAAAGGTGTCAGACAGGGCTGTGTGGCTTCCCCTTGGCTGTTCAACCTATTTATGGACAGGTGTTTGCAAACTTTGAAAGATGAAGAATGTGGGTTAAGAATGGGCGAGTTAACCGTCAAATGCCTTTTGTATGCCGATGATCAAGTCATATTTGCGTCATCGGCGGCTGAGTTGCAAATGATGGTTACATTAATGAACTGGGAATTAAAAGAAAGGGGAAGGAAAGTGAACGCAAGTAAGACGAAAGTGATGGTTTTTGAAAGAGAAGAAAGCAAAACGGTATGTGAAATAAGAATAGAAGGAGAGTTAATTGAGCAAGTGGATGAGTTTGTGTAATTGGGATGTGTATTTAGCAGGGATAGTAGATATGATAGGGATATAGAACGACGAGTAAATGCAGGGAATAGAGTGAATGGGGCACTAAACTCTATTATGAAGAACCAGAATGTGTCAAAAAAGGCACGTATGGTAATTCATAATGCTGTGTTAGTCCCTACTTTAATGTATGGTAGTGAAAGCTGGGTGTGGCAGAAGAAGCACGAAAGTAGAATAAATGCTGTAGAAATGCGGTCTTTAAGGAATATGCTAGGGTTGAATCTGAATGACAGGGTGAGAAATTGCGTGATAAGAGATAAATGTGGTATGCAAGATGATGTTGTGACCAGGATTAAGCAAGGAATGCTTCGGTGGTTTGGTCATGTAGAAAGAATGAATGAGGAAAGAGTGACATAGCAAATTTATATGGCGGATGTGAACGGCCGAGTCGGGAAGGGACGCCCTAGGAAAAAGTTTATCGAACAAATTGGCGATATTTTGAAAATGGGCCACGTTAGAAGTACCCTTAACCGACGAACATGTATGCGTAGATATATGGATGTAAAGGAGGCGAAAGAGGTATGTCAGGATCGTGTCAAATGGAAGTCCGTAGTCTCTGCCTACCCCTCTGGGTGACAGGCGTGAGTGTTTATGTTATGTTATGTTATGATTAAATAACATAATTTAATTCAAGAATACATTACCTTGTGTACTGCGGCGAGTTCGTGAAGAAATCTATTAAACAAGCTATTAAATAAGTCTCAGGTAAATTAAACAATGTGTTTAATACATAAACCCTTGATTCATCTAACGTCAAAAATTTATTTGGATATAACTCGTAGACTTGCGAGCTGAAACAACAAAACCATTAAATATCCAGTCCTAAATTAAGATTAAAAACAACAATTTAGTCGAACATTTCACTTACTGTTTTAAAAATTCAAATCCATGCACACAAACTAGAATGTTACCATAAGCATCTACTTTTAGTAGGTTTCCGTATAAAGTATCGAACCACAGACCTCTGGAATCAATGTTAGATCATTAGTTATAATACCAGATATTATTTCTAAATTAGGAAGTGAAAACATAACAATAAGGACAGATTGAAAGAGAACAAAAGTAAATAAATAAATAACTACAATAATACCTCATCACATTATACGACCTTACAAAATTCAAACGATTAAAAACTTTTATCAATTTATCTGAAATTATAGAAGCCAAATGTAAGTATTTAATCAATCTATTTTCAAAATTAAAGTATAAATGGATGTTACATGTTTATAATATCGACTTGTATTTGTCAGACAACTCGTAATGTCTCTTTTATAATGAAGGTTTTTGTAAATCTACGTAAAAGAAAAAATAATTCAAGTGGAATTTAGTGAAAACTTTAACATGTGTTTATTACTTGCATATTAGGTATAAACACATTCGTATACTTAAAAAAAATATTTCGAAGACATGTGAAGTTCGCCAACACGCATTGGGGCAGCGCGGCGGACACTTCCTTGCCCTGAAACCCTCTCAGAAATGAAGGGAGGCCTGTGCCCAGCAGTGGGACGTATATAGGCTGTAACTTTACTTTAACTTTTATACTTAAAAAAAATAAAATTGGAAACTCATCACTTGGCGATGTTTTGTTGTAAATAATATTGTTTTATATTTTTTATAAAACTACACGCTCACATAATCTATGTCGTAGCTAAGTAATAAAATAGAAACGGCGAAATTATGCTATGTTTTATTTATTATTATGGCATTAAGTATGCTAATTTATGTGCAAGATGGCATAATATCAGCTTTATGTAATTTATTATCTTTATTATTATCATTATAAATATTATTTTATATCCCAAATCACATTATACAACTAAAAAAATAACGTTTAAGTTGTGTGCGAGTCATGTAGGTGATAAAGACTAATTTTAATGGTAACGAGATTCTTCATCGAGCTTACTCACCATTCGTTGAACTGTGTGCTCGTTTTCTATGAAAAAAGTTCTATTGAAAACAATTAAAATAATGAGTAATTTAATATATGCATAATACGCCTAAAATGTAGAAAATAAGTGTGTTGCTACGGCCTTTATCGCACACCATCCGTTATTAATTCTAATAATAGATAATAAAAAAAATTTATTGCAATGTTCGAGATTAGAGTCTACCAATATTGAGTTATCAAATGCTGTCATCGCACATTCTTGTCGCAGTGTGAGCTCAGACGGAAATCTTGAAAGACATTATGGATCATAATGAATAAATTATGCGTTATGTGTATATTATGTTTGTTAGATTCTTTTAAATAGAGTGTTGAAACAATAATATTTGTCGTTAATATTTAGCTATGCCGATGTAATAATGGGATAAGTACCTATAAGTACCAAATCTAGTAAGTATGTAAAGAAAAAAGAATCATTTTCCGTAACAAAGTACCTTACTTTCTAAATCCTAATACACAATAAATTAAAACAAAGGTTACGTAACAAAAACTGTAAGTTTTATACGATTTCATGAGGTTATTACGATTATAAGAGCAACAAGAATACAACTATCGTAAGTTCGAGAGTAGCAACGGCGGTATAATATCGACCACCGATAAAGGAATTAAATTTAAATAAGACTTATTCCATCACAAAAACTCGCTTCATCGTATCATTTTCGTTATAATATATTCTTTAAAATCTAATTAAAAAAAAAAACGAAAGCATATCTCGATAAATGTATACATCATCCCAACATTATTTCGACCCAAAAACAATTTCTTTATTTATCACGTGACAAGATATGTTGCGTTATTTTCATGCGAGGTTTGACACGTAAAAAACATTACAGGAAACTCGTTATAAATTTTATATGTAGTTAGATGATTAAACAAATGTTGGCAATTGGATTCTACGGATATTTGGAACTGAATGTCTACTTTTGAACACGTGAAGTAGAGAAAGGTGTCGTAGCACACCTTCTTCAACTCATCATCAACTAATTGCGGACAAAATGAAAGCCAAATCGCACTTCAGGACTGGAATCGTACTTTTGCCGCGCGAGAGTTTGGTACCTCTCTCACTTTAAGAAATAAAAATCAAATAACTAATGAAGGTATATATGCAAGTAAATAATTATGAGGTAAATGAAGATGTATACTAGGCATATTATGCGTCCCACAGCTGAGCAAAGGCCTCCTCTCATTTGCCAATATGGAAGAAGCCTGCGAAACCTCAACGCAGAAAATTAACAGTCTTTCAAAAAAAAATTATCTGTTAGATAGAGCAAGTGACAAATCGATATTTAAATTTGAAACTAACAATCTTTTTTTCTTTGGTGCTATAGGAGTTCGAACTCGGGTTGCTCGCTTACTTCGACGAATATGGCTAACGTTTATCCCTTGAGCTACCATAGCTCTTGTAGAAAAAGAACTGGTGATTCCATCTTTCTATTACAACTTTTTTTTATCAGTGATCGATGATTACAACCTACCGAAAGTCCACAACTGGACAGGTCCTCCCACAGACGCCCTCATAGAGGACTGGGGACTGTTACTGCCACAGTGAGGACTGATAGTTGCCACAGTTGCCACATTTGCCACGCTTGGCAGGCGGATTGGCATCTGCAGTTTTTTATTTTGAGTTGTCAGAAAAATGCTACTGCCCATCTCGTTTCTTTTCCCTCTGCCGCATCTTATGACAACCCACAGGATAATGGGGGTGATAGATACTCCTTTACTGCCACTACACGGCGGAAAACTTTAAGACTGAACGATAATAATTACATAATAATAGTAGCGCGAACATTGAAACACTCACCTAACGGGAAAAGAAGGATCGTATTCAAATTCTAATATTTCACGCGGGTATCCCTTGCTAACTAATCTCTCTTTGGTTAAATTAAATCCAAGTGTTTCATACTGCGGCGATTTGTATTCTGAAAATAAAAAATTAAGTTTTAAATATAATGAAAATTTAAAAAGATTCATAAATTAATTATGTAAAGAACATAAGTAACTAAAAACTTGTATAGATTGAAAATTTGTTCTTAACCGGTTTAGTCTATCCAGCAGAAGGCCTGCAGGTAGTACTAAAGTGTCAACTATACAAACAACAGCAGTGTTGGGAGGCTCCCCTAAAGATGCAGTGACCACTTGGGAGAAATGCATGAACCCGATGGGTGCAGCCGACTCAGATACATCATACAATGTGTCGTTTTTTAGGGAGGCCTATGTTTAGCAGCGAACTTGTCATGGGCTGTAATTATGATGATACAAATCAAGAAGAATATTCTCAACTACACAAAACTAAGACAAAGCCTCGGCTATCCGCAAAAATTAAAATTTATGTTAGTTTGTGATTTTTATTTACTATTATTTTACGATATAAATTATACAAAAATTCTTAAACTAAAATATTTCCATAGAGAATTTTGTTCATATACCAGCCAATGTGTAATCCATATCAAAACCGTAGAATTTCACATTTTCCAAGTGCAGTGACCTGTTCACGAAGATTCTGTAACAAAAAAAAATCTATCATTTGTGTGATATTCCAAACGTAGATGTACCGTACGCCACATTCATTTGGTCGACAGTTATCCCTGTACTTTCATTAAAATGTTTAATAGTAAAGTTATGACTTATGACTAAATAATGAATATCTAAGACCTTATTTATAAAGAAAACTGATACAAAAATACTAAGGCGGCCCAACGTCCCAGTAATATAACATTAATTAAGTTAAAAAAATATGAAGTATAATATTCTAAGGCATTAACTTCCTGGTAGGAATATAGAATCACGATGCTTTTATATCAGGTCAAGTATGTCTTAAAATAGTATTTTAAAGGGTCATGGACTCATTGGACACATCTCTGTAACATTCTCGTATTTGTGTGAATAGCAGTGGAAGAAAAATATTATGTTTAAAAATACATACTTTAGACGTTCATGACACGACAATTTTTTTTAAATTATTGAATATATTTTGTGAAACTTATGCATTGAAGTAATATGTACTTACGTACGTACGTACTACATAATGCTCAATGAACTTATAGCTGATTTTTATCAATGTAATCGTCATACAACAGTTATTATACCTGACTGGAAACTGGATACAAAAGTATAATAATAATTAGAGATAAAACGGATATCCGGTAACCATCCGGTATTCGTCCTATCCGGCCTAAAATTACTATCCGGCCGGATACCTGATTTTAAAAATAACCCTAAATATAAAATTTTGTTAAGTACTTCATGTACGTCAGTTAACAAATATAATCAGTAAATACAAAATTTTCATTTTAAATCTCACAAAATTAGTACTCGTACTGCGCTAAGGGACAGAATAAATAAACGTACTACGTAGCAAAGGGCAAATTGTGGAGAATAAATACTAATTTATCTGCATTGAAAGGTAAGAAGCAGTTTCGTCTGTCATAAACAAGGCCAGTTTCAGGAAAAAGTCTTTCGCTGTACACACTGCTGCAGGATATTGAAAGAAAGATTTTGACATACTTCGATAAATTTGGGTATTGTGTAGCAATACCTTCCCACCAAATGTAAGGGTCACGATCGTAAACAGTTTGCACTCATTTTACTTTTCACTCTTGCGATGCACCAAGCGGCAATTTTTGGCGGAATATCCGGCGGCCAGATATCCGGCCATCCGGTGATAACACTGACCGAATATCCGGTATCCGGCCAAACAGCTATCCGTTTCATCTCTAATAATAATATAATAATCATCATCTTTATTCAGGCAATTTACACCCATAACCAGTAAAATCAATGAATTAAAAATCAATTTTAGAAATAAATAAATAAATGTCAATCAATCAAAAATGTGATCAAAATAATAATTTACCTTTAAATAATAAAAATTAAAAATCCAACATCATTTTAAGTAGGCAGAAATGTCAGTATATAAAATAAATTGATCGAAAAAAAAACAAAATCGCAATTAATCAATAAAACAAAATAAAATAAAATCATAATAAATAACAGATTTACACAATTGTATCGGTCAGCAGACAATCAATTATAAGTTCCTCAGAGGCAAATGTATACCAGTATGTCTGTGGGAGCAATGCCGGATGATATGACAGTCTAAACTTTCCGCGAACATCGCCAGGACAGTGTTGGAGCTGGCCAGCACTCTGCGCACCGCTGACGCTGCCCGCTTGCGCATGGTGGCATGCAAGCAATAGGTGTGCGTGCATCAGCGAACGTACCAGAGGCGCTACAAAATTGAGGCAGCCCCATCACAACCCTAAACACATAATTGTATTGAACGCGGAAGACGCTGTACCTCTTCCTAGTCTAATTACTAAAAAAGTGAAACAACTGAACTATTTAAGAATTACCGTTATATAAACAACAGTCATACTTAGTATGTTTATGTTGTTGTATTTTAATTAATGAATGACTGAATAATCCTAATTCACATCTTAATTTCTTAATCACACAAGTGATAAAAAAGTGGTAAAATTAAAAAATTCTACAACCGACTTCAATATCGATAAAAAAAATGAGAACATCATCAATGTATTCGAAGTCAAATATACACATTATTAAGGATAACTCAAAACCTACACGGGAGAAGCATCAGCTTTTAAATAAAAAAAGAACTATCAAAATCGGTTAGCACAGAAAAAGTTCTGAGGTAAAAAAAAAACATACAGTTAAATTTAGTACCTACTCCTTTTTGAAGCCGATTAGAAATAGAGTATTACAGATAAAGTAACAGCACACACTTACCTTAAGGTGGGCTATGTGCTGCAAGAAAATGTGAAAGTAGGTAGATACCTGTTTGCATGTTTTTCGTTCGTCGCTAAAAGGACGTTTAAACGTTTAGTTCTGTTTCTTGTTAACATTCTATATTATGAGTGTTTTGCTTTACCCGCAGCCAAAAGCAAATTATTTATTCTGTGGTCGTTACTTATTTCAACATTAATAAAAAAACTTCAATCACAATAATATAGAAAAATTCCAATATTATTTATTACGTAAGGGTGACATTATTATAATCAAAAAAAACTACTATAAAAACTAAAGATTTTGATGTATTGAAACAACATGTTTACAATTGCTGGCGACGCATTTACGAATTGAATTGGAGATAACATTTTACTACGCACACAAATATAAAGTATATGTTAGTAAATGCAAGTTACATTCATTGCCCTTGTTCGAGTGCGACAGCTGACCTCATTCTAAAATACACACTACTTTTGGAAATATAAATGAAACGCATTTAAACGTCACTTATAATTTATAATGTTATAATAATTGCGTATGACAACAATAAGGACGACAACGGAAGAAGCCCGTGTCCAGAAGTTGTCTTTTACAATCTGATAAAGAATTTTTTTAACGGGGACCAAAGGTAAAAGGTTAAGTGTGATAATACGGGTACTTCCAATCTACGAGAACTACCAGTATTTAATTTATAATATATAATTTTTATAGCATTGGGTGACAAGCGAGTACACAGTTCACCTGATGGTGTGTGGATGCTGTGGCCCATACATCCACATTTATCCTCAAATAAGAATCAAAATGCAAATGCGTTGTCACACCTGAGGTATAAGATAGTTTAAAAAAACTAACGAAACGCCTAACGATAACATTATTTATTTTATAGGTCCTGATCAGAATAAAATTATTAAATTATTGTATTGTCGTCGGCCATTGATACGAGTGCACATTTTGAAGTCAACCGCTCGTTTACAAGGTGTCGAAAACTACATTAAATGATTTTTTTTATATATAGAATAAGGGTGACAAACGAGCACACAGTCCACCTGATGGTAAGTGGATGCTGTGGTCCATAGACATCTACATTTATCATCGATTAAGAATCAAAACTCAGATGCGTTGTCACCCTTGAGGACTAAGATGGAATGCTTCGATTCCAGTAAAACGGGTCTCCGGTTCTCTATACACACCATACGAAACACAGCAGCATCACGCTGGTATTCAATGAGAGCGTGGTCCTGCCGCGGTCGACACATTCGTGCTACAACTTTAAAACGGAACAGTCATATCGCCATCTAATAAGTTCTATATTTTACGATAACTATGTCTTCTAAACAGATATCTACATATTATTATTAGATATTTTCCAACATACTCGTATATTGGAAGCCGGTTAACATTTTTTTCGCCAGCGCGAACCAAATAATTTGTGTAATAAATATGTCATATGTGCAATAAATATGACATCTATATGTATAGGAGGTTCGAAATAGACAGCGCCACTCCAGCAAATCACCTTGCTAAGTCTACTGAATAGAAAACACATTATTCACAAACTACTCCATGGTTCACGCTGAAAACTTCGACAGTAATACCAAGGTTTTATAAACTACTCAAAACAAAATAGGGCCCACCCCACCATGTTTTATAAATGAATTTTACAGATTCTTTTTCTTTTTTCCGTTTTTATGATTAGGAATGAATAAATTAAAGTTTTCGAAAGTGTGTGAACATCAACAAGAGTAAGTTTAGCCATTTTTATGGAATTTTGTCAAAATTTACAGTTTTTAGGAAAGTTTACAGAAATTATTGATTTAAGTAAAGTTTGATTTTGATTTTTATTATTGACTAAATCAATGAGTTTGGTGGTGCTCAATAGCGAGTAGGCCCTCCTCTGTTCCGTATGCACTCTCTAAATCTATCTGGGACACTTTCAATCAAGTGGGTGATGTTTTTCTCGGCTATTCGCTCGCAACACAATTTTAGGGCGTTTAATGAGCTCTTGTCGATTAGTCACATTACTGAAGTTCGATTTGAGGCAACCAAGTTGAATGTTCTAGTCTAATGAATGATATAGCGAATCAAGTCGCCAACAAGAGATAAAGGTTAGATCATGTGGTAGCCACGTCTGTAAAAGGAGTGCTACCTATGTGAACATGGTTCTAAATAACAGGATAGCACAAAAATAAGCAGATGAACAAATACGCAATGAAAGCAACCAAAAACTAGGAAGATAATGACGAGTTGGAGAAAAATACCTACAGGAGGACAGCAAACAGCGTTACGGGTTTTGAAAAACTAGTGTGCCAAACTCTGTCAAAGAAACATTAAAGAAAACAGCCAATGCTTTCCCACTGCACTCAAAGGCCTCGCCCCATATATGAGTGGCATACGCTAGAAGGTCTCCAGTTGACGGATTTTAGCGAAACAAATTCCGGCGGTCACTAAGGAGGTTGTTCTTTTCTAGTTATGCCATGAGGTGGGCGTACTATATTCGCTCCGTAATTTTTAGTATGGGTATGGAGGTAATTGAAATTGGCCGAATGTTGGCAGTCGGCTCGGCTGCCCTTTTTAATACAGGCTGCACATTGGCTAGCTTCGAAAACTAAGGTACAACACCAGTCGTCACAAGAGAAGAACAAACGAGTCCACACAGGTGACAACTCAGACGCCCAAGTCTTTAGAACTAAAGCTTTATTGTCAGATGGTTTGGCAGAGAGCTTAAAGTCGATGTGTTTAATACTGTCGAAACTG